CCTCTCCTGTCATCATGAAAGAAGGGTCTTTTTTTTTTCCATATAAGTTTTTACCTTCCACGTGGAATCTGAGTCCTAATCCCGCCCACCTTTTCATAAACCTCCCTCCAACAATCATGACTACCTTTTGTATGCATTTTAACCCCTTTCTGTTCCACCAGATCTTTTTCTTACAGCCTCTGAAAATGCCCATGTTTCTGATATATATAATTCCTATACTCCATGTCTCTCTTTGCCTGTTGTCTTATTTGTCCTTCTGAATCAACCTCCCAAAGGAGTTTTCTACACTTACTCTTTCTACTTCCTCTGCCTGTCACTCCTCATTCCACTCTACTCAGTCATTGGCACATAATATGGTACTAAAACTGCTGCCACAAAGGTGACCAATACCTTACTTGATGCTAAATTCTTTTGAGACCTTTCATTACCATTACTTGACTTCTCTACAGCAATGAACATATTGACTTTTCCCTCATCTAAACATTCTCTTTCCTTGATGTGAGTCTTGTTGAACTGCTTTCTGGGTCCCAAGTATGAATATTTTTCACTTATACCCATCTAATCCTTCTCTCCACTCATCTTACATCTGTCTTTCAGGTCTCAGATTGGCCATCACCTTCTCTAGAAATTCAGGATAATTCATGCCCTATCTTTGGATTACTATAGAAACATATACTTACCTTCTTCATAATTATTCTGCATTCATCATGCTAAACCATGATCATCTTTCTTTTTTAATATTTTCTTAGTTGTAGATGTACACAATACCTTTATCTTACTTTTATGTGGTGCCGAGGATCCAAGCCAGTGCCTCCCATGTGGGAGGTGAGCACTCTACCACTGAGCTACAACCCCAACTGAGCTGCAACCCCAATCTCGTGATAATTTTTTTAAAAAACTGGGGATTGAACCCAGGGGAGCTTAACCACTGAATCACATCCTCTACCATTTTTTAGTTGTAGTTGTACATAATACCTTTATTTTATTTATTTATTTTTTATGTGGTGCTGAGGATCAAACCCAGCACCTTGCACGTGCTAGACAAGTGCTCTATCACTGAGCCACAACCCCAGCCCCTCCCCTACCATTTTTTTAAAATACAAGTTCCGTTTTTTAACAGTTATTTTTTAGTTGTAGGTGGACACAATACCTTTATTTTATTTGTATGTGGTGCTGAGGGTCGAACCCAATGCCCCATACATGTTAGGCCAACGCTCTTTCTCTGAGCCACAACCCCAGCCCACCCCTACCATTTTTAATATTGTGTTTAAACAGAGTCTCGCTGAGTTGCTGAGCCTGGCTTTGAAAATGTGATTCTCTTGCCTCAGCCTCCTGAGCCAATGGGATTACAGGCATGTGCTATTTTCACTAGTCAGTGATCATCTTAGTTTGCTTCGCTTGAATAACAAGAGCTACTTGAGGGCAGGTTATTGTCTACCTTTTATTGGCAGCACTTAGCACAATGCCTAATACATAGTGAATGTTCCACAAATAGCTCCTGATTGAAATAATGAATGCAGCAACCATAATGTTTACTCTGAAATACTAACTGATCAAATCTTGGGATAAAATATTTACTTTAAAAAGAACATTCAGGGCTGGGGATGTAGTTCAGTGATAGAGCACTTTTCTACCATGAGTGAGGCTCTAGGTTCAGTTTGCCATCACTGTAAAAATAAGATATTGAAAAGAAGTCAGGCTGGAGGTGCATGCCTATCATCTTAGTGAGTCGGGATGCTGAATCAGGAGGATCCCAAGTTCCAGGCCAGCCTCAGCATTTTATGGAGGCCCTAAGAAACTTAGAGGGATCCTGTCTCAAAATAAAAAGGACTAGGGGTATAGATCAGTGGTAAAGTACCCCTGCGTTCATTCCCCAGTACAAAAGAATAAACAAATAAACAAACAAATTAATTAATAGAAAAATCACATCATTGGGATTTTGCTAGTGTTTGCATTGGTTCTGTAGATTACTTCACTGTTACCAACTTAACAATGTGTTCCTACTCATGAACACAAAGTATCTTTCCATTTACTTGTGTCATCATTAATGTACTTCAGCAACATTTTATAGTTATTAGTATATAGTCATCCTGAGTGTCCACAGTGATTGGTTCTATCGATGGTTATCTCTTAGATAAATGGGTGTAGTAATTGCATATAACATTCTCCTGTATACTTAAAAATCATCACTAGATAACTTATAATACCCAATACAATATAAATGTTATGCAAACACTTGTTGCAGTGAATTGTTTAGGGAATAATGATAAGAAGAAAGATCTGTACGTGAGCAGTACAAATGCAATTTCTTTTCCAAATATTTTATTTTTAAGTTGGTTCAATTCGTGGATGTAGAACCCACCAATATGGAGGGCTATGTATATAAGTCTTAGCCTTTTTATATAACCATTTTCATTATTTTGGGACTTTTGCACTTCTTACACTTTTCTTCCATCAAATAGAATTATCATTTTTCACAGTATACACAGTTTATTCTACACATGTTTGACAATTCTGTTGTATTTCTGTTGTATTTCCCTTTTCTGTGAAGGGACAGGTGTTGTTCTCAATGTAACTCTTGGCCCTCAACCCAGTTCTTCCGTTGATAATGTATGTACTATCAGGAAACCCCTTTCTGCTCTCTAGTCATCAGTTTCCCCATTTAAAATTAGAAGGTGAGGAGTGGATTAGAATGTGATTTTTTAAAAAATGTTTGCATACACTTTATTTTTTATTTGTTCTAATTAGATATACATGACAGTAAAGTACATTTTGACATGGAGTATAACTTCTCATTTTTTTGGCTGTACATGATGTAGAATCACACCAATCATGTAATCATACATGTACATAGGGTGATAATGTCCAGTTAATTCTACTATCCTTCCTACCCCTATTGCCTCCCCTCCCTTCACTCTCCTCTGCCCAATCCAAAGTACCTCTATTTTTCCCTAGCCCTGCTTTACCATGAATTAACATCCGCATATCACAGAAAATATTCAGCCTTTGTTTGGGGGAGGTATTGGCTATTTTGCTTAGCATGATATTCTCTGGCTCCATCCATTTACCTGCACATGCCATAATTCCATTCTTCTTTAAGACTGAGTAATATTCCATTGTGTGTGTGTGTGTGTGTGTGTGTGTGTATCTCACATTTTCTTTATCCATTCATATGTTGAAGGGCATCTAGGTTGGTTCCATAGTTTGGCTATTGTGAGTTGAGCTGTGATAAACATTAATGTTGCTGCATCACTGTAGTATGCTGATTTTAAGTGCCTTGAGTATTAACTGAGGACTGAGATAGCTGGGTCAAATGGTGGTTCCATTCAAAGTTTTATGAGGAATCTCCATACTGATTTCCATAGTGGATGCATCAATTTGCAGTCCCACCAGCAATGAATGAGTGTACCATTCTCCCACATCCTCGGCAACATTTATTGTTGCTTGTATTCTTTTAAAAAAAATATATTTATTTTTAAGTTGCAGTTGGACATAAGACCTTTATTCTATTTATTTGTTTGTTTGTTTATTTATGTGGTGTTGAGGATCGAATTCAGGACCTCGCACTTGCTAGGCAAGCGCTCTATAGCTGAGCCATAATCCCAGCCCACTTTGTATTCTTGATAATTGCCATAGAATGTGATTTTTAAAAGGTGTTTTCTGAGAGGTGCTTCTGACAATATAGAAGCCAGAAAGAGAAAATGGGTATCTTTTATGTTTGACATACTGGGTTTATACATGTTCTTTTGTTTTGATAAATTATTTCTTTCAAAGTAGGAGGGTAATTTGAAAGGGCCCTTCTAGCTTTACAGTTCTATGTTCCTAAGTCAATATATATGATGAGATGCATGATGAGGGTGTTGCGAACTGGGTGAACAGCATATACTTCTGTGGAAGAAAGAAGTGATTAAAGCAAGGGAAGAAAAAATCAAAGTAAAACTCTTGCTTCCCCTCCACCACTTGAACACTCAAGAGAGTTCCCAAACCCTTGGAAGCCATTCCTTGGGCCAAAGGAACTTAACCTTAGCCCTTAGAAATTCCCATTAACCACTTCTTTTTTCCTAGAAAGCTCTACCTCTGTGGCATTTCCATTACCAGAAAATGCCCAGGTTCTTGGCTGAGTTGGTGGATCAGAGGGGCAAGTTTCCACTAAACTCTTGTCCTTGACTGGTTTGAGGACTTGGACAGGGTGTCTCTCATTTCAGACATCCTCTTGCCTAAGGTGCACTTCAGATGCTGACTATAGGCTGAAGAAGGCTCTGAATGGGCCTTCAACACAATAAGCAAGACAAAAACCTAAATAAAAACAAAAACAAAAAAGAAATGAGTAGTACTAGTCTGAGGTTTTTCTTAAAGAGATGTTGCTTGTTAAATACACACAGAAAGGAACATAAAACGTGAGTAGTGTGTAATAATTATTTATGAAGTGAAAACCTCTCTTAATCACCACAAGGTCATTAAACCGAACAATACTAACACCTCAAAACTGCCTCATGTGTCTCCTCCATTCTTCCTCACTGGAGATAAATTGTCTCCTATTTTTTACAGTAATAATTTTTCACTATACTTTATAATTTTGCCATGTAAGTAGGCAATATTTTCTCTTAGTCCTCTTTCCCTTTGGCCAGTAGTCATTAAAAACCCAACTTCTGGAAGCAGACGGATAGCCTGGCTTGAAAGTCTATCTCTGCTAACCTATAAGCTCTGTAACCTCAGAAAAATTACTTCTCTTTGTATATTAGATCCATACCTAATAGGATAATAATATTATCTCTCGCATATGGCCCTAATGAGACTCTGATGAATAGGTCCAAATAAATTAGAAGAATACTACCACAAAGTTAGTAGTCATTAATGGATAGCTATTACTATTATGACAACAAAGTGAAAAGGAAAGTATATTCTGGTCAGAGAGGGCTGGTGGGGCAAGGAAAGCATCAAAGGAAGTGGGAATTCAGGAGGGCTAACAGGCCATGCCTAATGGCCTCCTTCTTCTACAGAAGATGAAACCAACTGTGAAACCCTTCCAAGGTGATAGAAACGCCATAAGAGATGATGATACTAGGAGTGACAGTAGCTCCAGAAATGGCAGTGACACCAGGAGTGTCCATAGTACAAACAGCACCAATGAGATCCTCAATGCTCGTGGAAACCGAATTGCCAGAGAAATCGCAACCACCGGCGGTAACACAAGCAGACTAAACATCAATGATGCTGGTGCAGATGGAAGCACCAACACAGACAGGAGGGAGGAAGTGGGTGCCCACGGAACTGAGACTGGAAGCAACACTGCAAGTACTACTAGCACCATGATCTGTGGCGAACTTGCCAGTGTCAGTGATACCATGAGTGTCAGTGATGATTTGGACACCCTAAGGAGCTTGAGCCTGAGCACCCTGGGTAGCTTGAGCACCCTTGGGAGTCTGAGTTCAACTGGGAGTGGCAGACAGCGGTCCACTGTTTTGGCTCTCAGCCGGATCCTCAACCGATCACACTATATCTCCAGGTAAGCACCATACTTATTCCTATCTCTTGCATCCCAGCTTCCTAAATCACAGTCCTGTCCAAAAGGGCCCAAGAAATGAAAACCTGGGTTAGTAGAAAAACATCATGGGAAAGACAGTGCCTTAATCAGTGGATTAAGTATTTTCACAGCTAATCTGTAGAGCAAAATAACAAAAATCCTCAGAAGGGGGAGTGCAAAGGGAGGCCTCTCTCTCTACCTGCCATTAGCACTGGGAAAGCCTCCCACATGAGGAAGATACTGGAGATCTCTTGCTCCCTTTTCTTCTCGCTCTGGGATTATGCAGTATAATAGAAGGAAAGGCCAATTTAGGAAGAAGGACAATTGTTTATAGGACCTCTCTCCCTCAGTGTCAGCTGACCTCCAGGATTCATGAAAGGGAAAATGGAAACCATGCCCCTTCCTCCTCTTTCACTGACAATGAATACAAAATTATTTCATATTCTTTTTTATTTTCCATCTAAATTCTTTTGTGGTAGCGGGGCATGCAGTGAGGAAAGAGACCATTGGCAGTGCCCTTTACTGTACCCCTAACTATTTTCAGATCTGAAATAGGTGCCTGTATGCATTATTTTTTCTGATGATTTTTAACTTACTGGGTCCTGAGTCTGGATACTAGTGGTTCCTATCATTTCTGTAGTCTGAGAACCTTAATGTCAGGGACCCAAGAGTCTAAGGAAGGGAAAGAATTAAGTCATAGCCCAGCAGGAGAATAACTCCATGTTGAGAGAGAAAGGAGAAACTATTTTTACATAAGGTTACCAGAGATGTGGCATTTCAGCTGGGTCCTCAAAGGATAGTTATATGTTCACTAGGTGTGGTGAGGTTGGGACAGACACACCAGGCAGAGGAATTACCATGAGCAGTGGTCAAAGGGCATGAAGTAGCTTGTCATATTCAAAGAACAGTGAATAGATCCAGTATATGGGACAAGGAAGGAAAGAGTAGGAAACAAATCAGGAAAGGCAAGATAGGGTGTAGCAAAAATGTTATACTACATCCCATAAACAAGGGGGAGCTATTGAGGGTTTTTGAGCTGGAAAAATAAATAATCAGAACTGAGGATTAGAAAGAAGGTGAAAACACATTTGAAACCATCAAAATTGTGCTCCACAGGTGAGGTTCTCTACAGAATGTGTCTCCACCAGATATAGAATATATATTTATATCCTTTCCCACCTCATTGTTCCTAGGGAACAACTCTGGGAGGCCAGCCAGCCAGGCACTGGGGCTCTGGTAGGAGCTCTCCATGGACCCAACTCCACCTTCCTCATGGATGACGAGGCGGAACTCAACAATGGTGCACAGATCCAATTGAGACACCTTATCCTCTACAATGATACTCTCATCATTGCCAAGCCCAAGTAGGATATCCTACCCCCAAGGATGGTGGGATTGGAAAAGAATAGGGGAGGCTGGAGTGGTTTCTTCTGGAGGCCTTTGGGATATGGCAAAGCTGCATATGGGAACCCTCCAATGGTTCAATAAGTCCAATTTTTTCTCTCTAATACCTAGAATAAAAACACCACTTCCTATATGTCAAGAGCTATGTAATGTTTTGAACAACTAATAATAAAAATTTTAAAAAACACCACTTCCTTTTAGCTAGGGAAGATACAGAAGAGAGGCCTAACACCTAAGACAGGAGAAGAGATACATATTTCAAACATTCACCAGGATGAGAGAGAGAACTTAATCTACAGAAAGTTACCCTTTAGCCTGAGTGCCCAAGGCCCACCTCAGGGTTAGTGTGAGGCAGGGAGCAGGCTCCTTCCTGAAGACCCAAACTGAGATTCCATTGGCATAAATTCTAGGTCCACCAACAGCCTGAAACTTAAGAAGCAGGTACGTCTGAGTGAGGTGTGGGTTGCCTCCTGCCTAGACGAAGTGACAGTGAAGGAATTCTGCGCAGACACCTCCTTCGTGATTGGTTGGCCTACAACCAACAGTGTGGTCACCTTCTGGTAAGGCAGTCACGGTGTCCCTTTTTCTTTTGCATTATCCATTTTTGCTTAACTTATGCCCTCTTATAAAATTCTTTTAAAATTATTTTACCCAATTGTGAAATATAAGCACGGATAGAATAATGTATAAAGTTTCAATGTATAACTTAATCCATTTTTGTAAAGTGATCACCAGTGGAACATTCTGTCCTGCTATGCCTGGTTTTTAAGAAAAGTAGGCAACAGCCAGCTGTGATTACACAGCCTTATAAACCCAGTGACTCTGGAGGCTGAAGCAGGAAAATTGCAACTTCAAGGCCACTCAGCAACGTAGTAAGACCTTGACTCAAAATTTTTTTAAAAAAATGGAAAGGGCTAAGGATGTAACTCCAGTGGCAGATTGCCCCAGGGTTCAATACCCACTACTTCAAAAAATAAGAAAAGAAAAAATAAAGAATTGTAGGCAGCAGAAAAGACATGGGGTTAAAGAAAAAAGAAAAAAAAAAGATCTGCATCAATAGCTGCCTTAAAGGGGCTGCATAGACCTTCTTCCTTCATGCATACACATCTGATTTATTGAATGGTCCTCAAGCTTATTTACAAAGGGTTGTTTAATAAATGTTTTAGAAAATTAAAAACAAAAATATAGCAATACACCAAGACCCAGGCATGCAGTCTCACAAGTGAACACATAGGCCTACCCTGTATGCTGCTGCTTGACAAACCCATGAGAACACATCCATTCCAATAGCTTCTCATGCACACTTACATAGCACATATATCCATACCTACACTCACATATATGCACCTGTAGATGCATAGGCCTTTGTTCCTACATACTTTTCCATACATACACATTACACCCATGCTCATGCATTATTCTCATAATGAATATCCCTACACATGTCATACTTCTACACCAACGCAAACATAAGCATCTCATATGCATCTTCAATGATCATATACATATTCACCCTGATAGTATGTATAATCACACATACATATCTCAGTTCATATGTTCACAACATAACATAAATACACATATTTCACACACACATTTTATACCTAAATGCATATTCACATACATGCTCACACACATATACCTGTATTCATAAGAACAACCATTCTCTAGCTTCTAGACATACTGATTCTCACATAACAATGATCTGTGATCACATCCCTAACATCTACACATACTCTCACACCTTAGTGTTCTCTCTCTTACACATACACACACTTCCCCATGCATACTCACACAGTTACATCTACACACATGTTCCTGCTTAAGACCTCCCTTTTCTTTTCTTGCTCATTAAGAAGAAACTCATTCAAAAAAATTGAGTCAAACTGGGCACAGTGGGACATGCTTATAATCTCAGTGACTCAGGAGGTTGAGGCAGAGGACCACAAATCTGAGGCCAATCTTAGCATCTTGGTGAGATCCTGTCTGAAATTTTTTAAAAATAATAATTAAATATGACTGGGGAAGTAGCTTGGTGGGAAAAGCACCCTTGGGTTCAATCCCTGTCACCACTCAAAAAAAAGGAAAAAAGTGAGCCATGTGAGTCACTCAAGACCCCAGACCCCTCCCTGTGCCCCTTCCTAGATAACCATTCTGGTGTGTGTGTGTGTGTGTGTGTGTGTGTGTGTGTGTGTGTGTGTTTGTTTGTTTTGTCCTTAGTTCCCCAGAAACCAAGGAGCGTTGGTTTTCAGCTCTGCGCTGGTAAGTCTTTCCCTCTTCCCATTTTAACCTCTCCTTCAAGTTGACCCCAAAATGGAGTAGGCAAGGCTAATCCTCCAGAGCAGGCCTCTGGGTGACCCATTACTCCTCTGATCTAAGCAGGGTCATAGGATCTGCAATTTCAAAGCCAAAAGGTCCTTGTGATCCTTCCTTCTGCTCCAGTTAACCCTGGATTTACTATAAGAGAAGAGAAATGCATACCTTTAGGTCCTATAGAAAAGATGATTCCACAGTCTCATAAAGAGTTCAGCAGTCCTTACTTCTAGGATGCAAACCTTCAAGTCTAATCCAAATCCTTATACATTAGCCAATGTCCCTTTTATTCTTAAACAGTATCTGTACATAAGGAAACTATCCACGACCCTCCCTTATATAAACAATGGATTAAAGCACTGTTAATCTTTTGGCCTGGCTTTCACTGAGCAAATATTGGAAATAGCAGTTTTCCCAATATTTGTCATGATTTGAGGGATCAGACAGAATAACCTCAACCCCACACCTTAGCTTCCTTCAGCTCCCAACCCAATATGTGCCACTTCTGTTTGCTGAAAGAGGTTTTGAAACTTGCTTTGAAACAAGACATATTCCTTCAATATATTTGCCCCAAAGATATGAATTTTCCAAGAAGAATCCACAGAAGTCAAGGTGCAATCCAAGAACAGATTTTCAGTTGTGAGATGGGTAGGATTTACGAGGCAACAGAAGTTCATTGTTCCCCACAAAGCCCTCTACCTTGACCAGCCCTATGTGGCCCTTTGTCTGCATTGCTGACTAATATCCTGCTTTCTGCATTCCTATCCACCTCCCCTCACCCTTCACCCACCTCTCCATATAGTAACATCCAAGAACAGAAGCAGAATGTTTTTCCAAAGAACATGACTCTTAGGATTCTGCTGATGGAGGTCGATGAACTCACTTCAGTAAGTTCCATTGACTGTTTACCTGTGAGTGTCCCTGGAAAAGCAGGTTGGTGGGCAGGGAGATTAGAGGCTATGGAGATGCCATCAGAAAATACATGACTGGTTAACAATAGTTCTGACTCTTAATTCTCCCAGTTGGCCCTACATGTACACTGTCAGCCCCCTCAACAGTCTCAATTTTGACCTTCATGAAGATTGACATTGGTATGACTTCTAGGATAGTAATATCTGCTTTTCATCTTGAGCCACGTCCCAACAGAGGAAACCTCACTCAGGAGATGATTAGCTGCTTTAAGTCCATTATCAGCTCATGATTTCTCCACATTAGAAATTTCCCAGGTCTAGTTTCTCCCTGTTCTATCCTAGTCCATTGGCCCTTATGTATGAGAAAGGTCAGTCAGTGGCTTGTCTATGGGGGCCCAGGTATCACAATTCATGCCACAATAGAGTCCTAGGGGGAACATGACAGTGGTGCTTGCTAACATGACTGACCTGGCACTTAACATTCTTTCTCTCATGAGTTTGTCTTAATCCTTCCATTCCTTCCATTTCTCTTTACTCAGACCACTCTAATAACTGTGACCAACACTGAGACCACCGAGAAAGTCATTGGGAGGGCAGTGTATCAGCTGGGACTTACTGTAAGTAAATACTGCTTTCAGTAAATTAGGCCCAATGATCAACAGGCACCTCTTATGTGCCAGGCACTGTGCCAGAGGCTGGGATGGGTGGTGGATAGAGAAATCAGGGCTCAGTTCTGATCCTGGTCTGTGCTCTTTAGGACCTTTCTGGAGAGAGTGTGAGGAAAATAAACTATGTTCACACAGAATACAGAACAAAATCAAAATAAATCTGTCTACTAGAGAGGCCCAGATAAACTGTTGTGGCAGGTTGAGAAAGGTAAAGCTCACTAAGCTGGGAGTTAGCAGCAGCAAGAGAGAGGGTAGGTCAGGGAGACTTCTTGGAACTGGTGACATTTGAGCAGAGCCTTGAACAATAGAGAGAATTTCTCAAGGAAGTAAGACAGGGAAGGGCATTCTGGGTAGAGAAAGCCACCCAGGAAGTGGGGTAGAATTGAGGAAGTATGGAAAGTAGAAATGGAGAACAACAAGTACATTAAAAGTATCGCTACATGCTCTAGAGTTGAGGGGCAAGGCCAGAGAGGGCAAGGTTTTAAAACTAGACCAAGAAGGGCATCTGAATATCAAGGTCAAAGAATTTGGACTTGATCCTCCAGACAATAAAGAGCCACTGCTTTTTGAGCAGGAGAGTGACATGATTGGAGTTGCACCTTGGGAAAGGCCTGTAATGCGTGGAGTTGGCATCCAAAGCCAGTAAGAAAGGGATAGATTAAGTCCAAACCCTGTCTCTGAGGCTGCAATTTCCTCTATATTCTCATGGCCCCAAAGCAGTTTACAGACCCTGGTAGGAAGTTCTGGTGTGTGTATGTGTTTGAGGGGCGTGTGCATGTGCATGTGCCTACTTCTTTATGGATATATATGCATCCTTCCTAGTGTATGTGCATGTATATATAAACAAGTATGCAGTTGCATGATCTTTGTGCTGGCCTATCAGTGTAAATGCATGCATAATAGAATGCCTAACTGTGAATTTTTACGTATGCATGCTTGCTTGTGTGCATGTTTATGTGTGTACTCACACGGGGGTATGTGGGAGGATTCATATAGGAAATTAACACGTGTGTAGTTGTCTTACAAATTTCTGACTGCACATGCATGTCAGTATTTGCATTGTTTGCATATACTCGTGTGTATGTGAGTATGTATCTTGACATACAGTTAAGCTTTGATTGTCTGCAGAGTAGCCCCTTTCGGATTACACAGGATGGATTTTCAGTCCCAGGCTGGTCTTCCCCACACCACCCAGCACCCTCCTGACCCACTTCTGTCCACTGCCAGCTGCTGAGGGAATGTACATCCATTTTAGTATTTGCTTCCACAAAACAGAATTGGAAAGGTAAAACACCCTAGGGTCCACTCTTGAGGTCGGGGAGACCTTACTCTGGGACCTCCAAGCCCACTGGGGAAAAAGTCATCATTAAATTAAGTTAGCAGAAAGCACAAGACAAACGTTGGGCCCAGTTAGTAGTAGTTAGGCCTGCTGATTCTATTAACCATGTGTATGGGGGCACAGGCTGGGAAGCCCTGGGAAAGGTGGGGAAAACCCAATGTGGTGTTCATTTCTGATTAAAGAGCCACAAGCTTCAGTCAGTATTTGACATATTATCTCCCCTGAACAATGGTAACTGTCCCCCACATACCACTGATCCCTAGCTACCAGTACACAGACCCTAGTCTCATACCCCTTGCCCTTTATTCCTTTAGATTCATTTCTCACCTCAACATAGTCATGCCCCTGACTCTCAGCATTGCATCAGGTTCTTTTCCTTGGCACTGCCACACCACCCCATGGTAAACAGAATAAGGCCTCCCTATGATATCTACATGCTAATCTCCAGAACCTGTGAAAATGTTAGCTTACGTAGGAAAAAGGACTCTGCAAATGTGATTAGGTTAAGGATCATGAGATGGGGAGACTTTCCTGGATTATCTTGGTGGGCCAAATATAATCAGAAGGGACCTTATAGTAGGGAGGAAAGAAAGTCAAAGTCAGAAAAAAAGTGATGTGAAGATGTAAACAGGTGGGGGAGGAAGAGAAGGAGACTAAAAGAAGCCACACTGCTGTCTTTGACGATTAAGGAAGGGACCTTCAATCAAGCAATTTAGGCATCCTCTAACATCTGAAAAAGGCCAAAAAATGGATTCTCCTCTGGAGTTTCCAGAAGGAACATAGCTCTGCTTCACCATTTCACACTTCTGACTTTGAAAGTTCCAAGAGAGTATATTTGTAGTATTTTAAGCCATCAAGCTTGCGGTTGTTTGTTAGAGCAGCGTTAGGAAACTAAGACAACGTCCTTCAATATTGCCTGGATCCTCCCAGCTCAAAATTTTCTCAGACCATCTCCCCACTTAGCAAGCCTCCTCCCTCTCAGTATTGTTCTTGCCTGTACCCTGCTCTTACCCTGGCCTCTCCCCTATCAGTACTATCCTACCTTGCCTTGGTTTCTTTAGTGGTACCTGGCCTCACCTCAAATCCCTGATTCCTAGCTCCTTTCCTTTTTGAAGACCCATGCAGTCTGCAGAGATTTGTTGGGAAGGATGTGGGGAAAACATGACTGCTTTTCCCAAGCGCCACCAGGGCCTATGAAGGTTATGGAAGGTGAGGAGAGGGGAGTTCTGCCAGACTGACATGTGTGTGCCTACCTCCTCTTCACATCATTGCTTTGCCCTTGTCTTTCCTCAGGGCCAAGCCAGTGATTTCCTGCTGTGGGTGAATTCATCAAAGGAAGCTCTGTCTTACCCACTCATTGGTAAGGTCCCTGAGTTCTAAGAGGGCATAAGCCAAGTTCAGTCCTGCTCTAAGGATCTTGGAAGCCTGGGGTCTGTGTTCAGTGTACTTCTAGCTGCAAGCCTCACTGGCTGAATCATGACAGGGACTCAAGAAGGTCAAAGGAATTATAGAGGGATCTGGAAATACACAGAAATGTGAGGTTCACTCATTGGGAATCTAAAAGAAACCAAGTTCAGGTGAAAGGTGAATGGGTTTACACTCTAGAAGAGGGACTGAAGACAGACATATGGAAGACTTCTTTACCAGTAGTGTTGTTCAATATATGTTTCTGTATCTGAGGATTTTGTAAGCCATGAACATGAATATGTAGGACAGGGGGACCAGTATAGAATATACTGTTTCACAATTTATTTAACTGTGTTATCCTGGGGGCAACAACTGTTGCCATCTCCAAAAACAAAGATTTTCAGAACACAAGGTGTGGTAGTGAATGCCTACATTCCCAATTCCTCTGGAGGATAATGGAGGAGGATCTCAAATTTTAGGCAGCCTCATCAACTTAGTAAGATCCTGTCTCAAAAAATCAAAAAGGACTGGAGATATATGGGGTAGTAGCTCATTAGTAAATCTCTCCTTGGTTCATTCCCTAGTACCAATACATACACACACACACACACACACACACACACACACACACACACAGAGAGAGAGAGAGAGAGAGAGAGAGAGAGAGAGAGAGTGCTTACGGAATATGCTTTTAAATCTCTGGCAGAGTGATATAAGGAGGAACTAGACACTTCTTCCTTTATTCAAGAATGGCAAAGTATAGATTTAGCAATAAATTCCTTGAATAAGCTACATGATGGTCAACTGAAGCATTTCCAAGAGTCCAAGAAAGAGAGACCAAGGCAGGGCAGAAGAACGATAAACAAATTGTGTTAGTTTTCTATCACTGTATTAAATATCTGAAATAATCAACTTATAAAGAGAAATAAAGCTTATTTGGGCTCATGGTTTCAAAAGTTGCAAGCCATGATCACTTTACTCCATTGCATTTTGGCTTGTGTTAGAATAGTACAACAGTGGTGAGAGCACATAACAGAGGAGGTGTTCACAACATAGCAGCCAGGAAGCAACAACAGAGACAGGATGGGGCCAGGATCCCAATATCTGACCCAGCGGTACACCCTCAATGACCTAATTTTTTTCCATTAGGCCCCATGACCTAAAGGTTTTTACAACTTCCTAATAACTCCATAGGCTGCCAACCAAGCTTTTAACACATGGGTCTTGGTCTGGGGTTATGACTCAGCGGTAGAGCACTTGTCTAGCATGTGCAAGGCCCTGGTTTCGATCCTCAGCACCACATAACAATAAATAAATAAAATAAAGGTATTGTGTCAAACTACAAATAAGAAATAAAATATATTTTTAAAAAAATACATGGGTTTTTAGGGGACATTTAACATCCAAAATATAACACTGTTGCCTTAAAATTCTCTAAGCTAATAGTCCAAACTACTTTAGCCTCTTTATAGGACCCCATGAAAATGTCCTCAGTGCTCTCTCCTTGGCACCACCATAGCTTGGCCTACTCATTTATTTCTTAAGACTCAATAATTCTTGATTGATAACTCTAAAATTCTGGAAGGGAAACTTGGGCCCAGAAAGGTTAATACATATCTTCCAGTTAAACAGAGAATTGGGGGTCAGGATAGCCTTCATACCTCACTTTATAAAGATATTTTTTAGGTCCTTAGATCCAGAATGGCAACCCATGCCCATGACAGATACTACAAATTAGTCATAATACTGTTTCCCTATGAGTCTTTACACAACTTTGCAGTCCCCTACGTAGCTATCCAGGTAGCTGCTACTTATTCTTTTTTTTTAATTAATTATTTTTTATTATTTCTTACATACATCACAATAGAGGAGTGCATTACATTCATATTTTTTTTGCATTGCAATTCTTAATACACCTTTATTCCACAATTTACCAAATCTCTGTTTGTATATAAGGTATGTTAACACCAAATTCACATCTTTATATATGAATTTTGTATAATGATGACCATTTCCTTCCACTATCCTTGCTATTCCCCTTTCCCTCCCTTTCCCTCCCACCCCTATTCCCTATCTAGAGGTAATCTTCCTCCCTTGCTCTTCCTCCCAACCCCATTTTGAGTCACCCCCCCTTATATCAGAGAAGACATTTGGCATTTGTTTTTTTTTTGGGATTGGATAACTTCACTTAGCATAATCTTCTCTAATTCCATCCATATCCCTGCAAATGCCATGATCTTATTATTTTTTAGTGCTGCATAATATTCCATTGTGTATAAATGGCACTTTTTTTATCTATCCACTGAAGGGCATCTAGTTTGGCTCCACAGTTTAGCTATTGTGAATTGTGCTGCTATAAACATTGATGTGGCTGTGTCCCTGTAGTATGCTCTTTTTAGGTCCTTTGGGTATTGTCCAAGAAGAGGAATAGCTGGGTCAAATGGTGGTTCCATTCCCAGCTTTCCAAGGAATCTCCATACTGCTTTCCATATTGGCTGCACTAATTCCAGTCCCACCAGCAGTGTATGAATGTATGTTGCTCCTTACTCTTGATCAGAGCTGGCAAGAGAAAGGAAAACCCTCAAAACTTCTTCCCTAGAGAAAATTCTGTCACCAATATTTGAATAGGGTTGGGAAGACATTAGAAAGAGGAAGTGGGTTGCCAGGGACTTGGTACTCAGCTGCTGAAGCAAAATGTGAATGTCTCTCATTCCTTCTCTTCCAGGTCATGAGAGCTTGTACAGCATTGCCCAAACCAACCTGCGACATGTGCCCCAGCACTCCACCCTGAGGACTAATGTAGACTGCCCTGATCCCACATCTCTGAGTCAGGTGCCTGAAAACAAGCAGTATAAATTTATCTTGAAGCACAAGAGTGAACTACCCAGTGTACTAGAGAGAGGTAAGGGTTGGGACTCTGGCACCAGTCTCTGTATGGCCCCTAATAATCCAGAAACAATATGTGGACCCTTTGCTTCAGCCTTTCTCTGAAGGGAGAAAACAAACTTGCTGGTGAATGGGGCTGAAATTTCCAACACTCTTATCCTTATCCTATATTCATGTGGTCTATCTGGTGACTTGCTCCATCCTGAGGCATTTAGGGACTACAAGTTAAGCATCCTCATTAGCATACACAGAGGTATGATCTAAGAGGAGCTCATTGTGAACAATAAAAGATACTTATATCACACAGGAACTCCTAGGGGTTTTAGTAGCTCTATGGTAGCTCCTTGGAGGCAAAGACCAAATATATTTCATATGAGACCACACCCTCCCTGTTCTTCTCTCCTTGGTGTTGCTATCCCCATATCGTCCCCTGCTGCCATACAAGAGCTCCAATGTCTTTTGGGGGAGTAACAAATTTTTGTGTCCTAACCATGCCTCTTGCCCACTTTCTCACATGTAGAACTTAGTGAGAAGAAAAGCTTGAAGAAAAGGAAGTCCCTCTTGTACTGGGCTCTGCAGAAAAACCCTAACCTAGCCTTAGAAAGCTCCATGGTTCAGTCACCAGAGGAAGAGAATGATCACAAGATCTTTGGCCTAGAGCTGTCTACACTCTGCCGAACAGGCCACCTGCCCAAGCCCATCATGGTAAGTCAGTTTCAGTTGCAGTTATAGCAGTTGTGGCATAAGGGTAGGTGATTTTTAAGATTTCAGAGTTATTTTAGACCAGGGGTCATCCCCCTTACACATATCTTCCCTATCAGTAAGTCTATCCCATCCTAATAGGGTACTCATAATCCCTGTACATCCACTTTAAGGGCTTAGCTACTTGCCTAGACCTGGTAGAACATAAACATCTCCTCAGACAAGTGCTTAGACTTGGCAGATGACTGCTTTCAGGATGTGTTTTGAGTAGAATGTCATGCCCCCTGCCCACCACACAATCCTTTATCACAGTGGCTGACCTGTTACCATTTAGATCATGTGGTTAAGCTAAGACTAAGAAACCTGTGTAGAATGAATGAGATAGAGTTCTGAAGCAAATAAAAGACTGAGCTAGGGAACCCTAGAGGTAGAGGTGATGTATGGGACACTGGGTTATTTGGAGGCAAGTATATACTCCTGCCCCAAGAAACCTTAGGAAGTGGGTTAGAGGGCACTGAGAGGCATATATTGACATTCGGGGATCTTCTCAGGACATGCTGATGCTGTTATACAAGGAGGGCCCAACTACTGCTGGCATTTTCCGTCGCTCAGCCAACACCAAGACTTGCAAGGAGATAAAGGAGAAGCTGAATTCTGGGGCCCAGGTTTCCATGGCTGGAGAGTCAGTGTTCGTGGCTGCATCTGTCTTGAGCGTAAGTCTGACTATGGACATGTGGTCGGCTCCAAAGTTCAAAGGAATGTCAGGAAAAAAGCAAAACACCCCCATGCCTACCCCAGGCACATGGCCCTGAACCTCCTCAAAGCCAACTTCATTGACTAAACCAAGCCTCAGATCCCCTGGTGGCAGAGGGTGGGGATGCTTAGCATTTGTAAGGAAAAAGCAGCTTGGGGGGACAGAAGGTTATCCATACATTCATCAGTTCTCTTAGTGGATATAGGCTCAGGTTCAGGAAATGTATGTCTGACATGATTGAATTTCATGCAGGAATTCCTGCGCAACATTCCTGATAGCGTGCTGTCCTCCGGCATGCATAGCCAGTGGATGACAGCAATGCAAGGACGCACCAGCCAGCAGAAAGTCCATTCTCTCCAGAGGTAAGACTCTGATTCCAAGACCATGCCTGAGACTTGAAGAAAGGGATGGAAACCATTGTCCAGATTAAGGAAGAATGGAAAATAGGGGAGGGAATATTAGTTATCAATACTTCATATATTCTTCATCCAGAGTTGTTTATGCAGCATATATGGTTCTATTTCAAGCTCTGTCCCAAACCAGCTGTGTGTACTTAGACAAGTGATTTCCCTTCTCTGGAGTTCAGTGCCCTCCTACTGCTGTATCCTATGGGAGGGCAAGAAAATTCTCCAAGTCTCCAGTTAGTGTTAGTACTCTTACAAAATTAACCAAACACTAAAGGAAGGGGAAAAGCCCTTACATGACTGTCTCTCCCAACCCCCACAGAGACCCACCCATATATTAAACTGACCTTTCTCTTTCCTGGGTTATTCCCCACCCATCCAGACTGGTAGCTCAGCTTCCTGAAGGCAACCGCCTGCTGCTAAAGTACCTCTTTGGAGTCCTGAGCCACATTGTGGCCAACTCTGAGGAGAACCAGATGACATCCTTCAACCTAGCCCTATGTGTTGCACCCAACTTGCTGTGGTTGCCCAACCCTAAAAGACCAGAGGATGAGAGCCAGAATATGAGCAAGGTAAGAGGTCCACTACTCTTCCTCACATTGGGCCCCACAAACAACCTCTCTTCTATCCATAGACACCCCCTACCCCATGTCATGTACAGAGCCTAGGGTGAATCTTAGAAATGTCTGCTCACTGGTTGTTTGAATTCTAAGTTATATATGACCTCAATAAGCCTTAATTCCTTTACCTTTAAAATGGGGTTTGTATTTGTGCCCATTGGAGGAGATAGAGATGACAGATATAAAAAGACTTTTAAAGTCTAAAGCAGTAGGCAAATAAAAGAGATATTTTTGTACCCCCACCAGACTATCAATTCCCTGAAGACAAGAACCTTTTCTTGTTTCTTTGAATTACTCAACCCTTACCTGTCACCAGGCACAGAGCAGGCACTTCTTGATGAATATTTGACAAAATGAAGAAATAAATGTTCTATAGCAATATGGGCCAATCACTGCACTGACTGGATATAAGACCTTTGATAAGTCATTTTACTTCTGTTTTTATTTTCCTGTCACTCAAATGGGAATGAGAAAAGTATCTGTAATGTCATGCATCTATTGAAAGCTCCTTTGGTGGTTCTTTTTGCCTAGGGTACAAGGCCCTCTAGGCTAAGAGGCTTGGATTTGATTGGTAGGAAGCAGAGAGTTACCAATTCTTAAGCAGCCCCTCACAACAGGACTCCCCATCCATGCCCATCTTTGATCATGTTCTTCCTCTCAGGTTACCAAGCTAGTTCAGTTCCTGATTGAAAATACTACTGAAATCTTTGGAGAAGATATCCCTGCACTGCTACTGAAAGCCCAGGCTCAAAGTGCCACCTGTTCTGAAGATAAACCTGGTAAGAGGGTGGCCCTTGGGCCTTCAGGGCCCAGGAAACTTTGTTTTCAATGTGTGGTATAATGGAAAAAATACTAGACTAGGAGCTAGCAGGGTAGAACTGAGTTAACAGTCCCAGTTCTGTAGCTCTGTGATCTTGGGGGGAAAAAAACCTTCTCTTTTCTGAGCCTTGGCTTCTCTTATGTGGGCAATTGGGGAAAATCACAACTACTACCAAAAAATGAGATCAAATGATGACTGGATATATAGAGGGAATGTCTGAAGTGGAGAAGATGTCCTACTTCATTCCTCCTAGTTTTGCTTCTTCACTGCCAAGGGAAATGAGGAGAAAGACTGTGACCCAGGCAAAAAAAGTTCAACTTTGCCAAAGGACACTGGCCCAACAAGAGGAGAAGCATAAACAGAAAATCTTGATGTGTTTCCATGGGGAGCCACAGGAGTAGTGAGATGCTGAAAGAGTAGTGAGAGTGGTATCAATAGCTGGTGTCCATCCGTGGGGCTTCACGAACAGCTCTCATTTCTTCACAGCTAGGTAGAGAATGTTAAGGAGCTCATCTTCTTGAACATATGTGTGCCCACACAAGCGCACACCAACAGAGCACATATATCACAAGGTGTGAGATAGATATATAAGCCATTAAGTCCCATGTCCATTTGACTCATTCCTAATAGAGTAGGGTTTGAAAATCTGTCTTCTTAAGTCACTGCCTCCCTTCTTTGTGGTCTCATCCTCACACTCTAATGCCAACTCCTGATATTTTTCCCTGATTGACAATTATTACCAGAACATGGCCTGGGTTTGAATTCCAGCTCTGAAATTTTCTGCCTATGTTAACTTGGGAAAATGGCATGACCTCAGTGAAACTCAGTGTCCTTGTCTAGGAAATGGGGAAAATGAGACCCATGCTGATATATGGATGAAGATTTTTAATTCGATGAGTGTAAAGTTGAGTACTGACTGCTAACAGGGGCTTAATAAAATGAGAGCTATCTTTTTTCCCCTGCTTTCACACTGCCTCCTCAGAAGAGGCTACTCTGAATAAAAACTGTGTTCTCATGATGTGGGAATTTGGGCTCCCATCTCCACTTCTACTTCTATCTTTGTGTATTCCATATTCTCAGAACAAAGTTTTAGTCTTGCTGAAAAAGACACATCTACAAATTTGGGATACAAAAAGCCCTGCAAGGGGTTAAAGTCTACGTCTCATGACATACACTAAAAGGTTCCTTACAGTTCCTAGCTTACCCTCCCCACAGATACACACAGCTTTCAGCCTGAAGTCACATAGCAAATCAATGATAAATTTTGTTCCCAAGCCCAGGAAATGTTGTCTTGTAAGTCCCCAGTATATGTCCCACTGCCTCCTGAGAGAATATGCTCCTGTTCCACATGGTGTCTGTTATATCTTACCCCCTTCTACAGACCTGGACCACATTGTTTTTCAAGATTTATGAGACACAGTTGCCTCTAAGAGGCAGGTCTAGGCCACAAAGCAGAGGTTGTTACAGGTGGGAGGACACATATAGAACTGCAGCAAAGATGGAGATGATGGTGGTATTAGGGACTTGCTAAGTTATCTGGGCAGGACCTGAAACTTCCTTCAGTACAGCCATACCCTCTGGGCCACTGAGCAAGATATCCCTGATTCTGACAGAGTTCTATGATCTACTCCCCCAGCTCTGATTGCCACCCTCACATACCTTCCATATGGTCGCTTCTGTGGCTCCTGTTTTAGCAACAAAAGCCCCTAGGCAAGAGCTTAGATCTCAGCTCTTTCTATAAGTGGCCCATCCTAGAGCCTAGACAAGCTCAAAGATGGCCCGATTACCTGCAATGCCCTCAACTCCTTTTTCATTCTTCATTAACCCCTTGGAGAGCACCTTTCTTTAATGATCTCAGGCACCTTACTTCATACCTCTGACAGTGCTCACCCTTTCCTTCGAGTTGGACATATCTATGGACACTTTGTATCATAGCTCTTCAATATTGTCAAGCTCACCATTTCATCTGAGAGAGGCCAGTGATCACTACTGACCACAGGACATAACTGCCTGTGAAGCTAGAACTGTGTCCTGAGGAAGTTGAAGATGGCAGTAATGATGACAAAGAAAAGACTATAGCAGACTAGAAGATGCTGAACACCCCAAAAGCATTCACTAAATAGAAGCAGTAAGGAAATTAAAGAATGTCCTTGAAGGGATTTCTGTAAGCAGGGTACCTCACCATACCTGATTAGCCACTCCTTGAGCCAAGATGAACTCCTAGAAAATAGCAGAAAATCATCTAGAGATGCTTAAGAAATGAACCAAAACAGAATTGTTTGAAATAGGAAACCAGACAACATGCTATATGATACCCAGGAAAGAGAAGGTCAAGACTACATCTCAGAGTCCCTGAACAACTAAGTACTCACTCCCAAGTGGGTTAGTGTTAGTTTTCTTATGGGCAAGCCAGGACTCTGAAGCCTGCAATACCACTCCCTTAACAAAGTCACAAACTTCCGAGAAAACAGTTGTACCCCAGGTGATCGATGACAACATTTGTCACATTACCATCTATATAAACTAGGTCAATAGTATTTTCAGCATTTATGCCTTTTTTAATGCTGGGGACCAAATACAAATACCATACTTGCTAGACAAGTGGTCTACCACTGAGTTATAGTTCCCTCAGCCCCAATTTGCTGTTTTTGCCTTCTTTTGAGGTGATAGGAATCAAACCCACACATGCTAGACATTGCTCTACCTTTAAGCCACATCCCCAGTCCTTGTGCCTTTTCTTATTTAAGCCTATCCCTCCTCCCAACCCTGTCAGGAGACAGTTGTTATTAGACCCAGTCCAGTACAAGTGAGATCCTAAGTTATCAGGTGGCCAAAATCTTTCATTGATCCTGAGGTTCTTATCAAGGAAATTTTTGTCTGACAGGAAAGAAGATGAGCAGGGTCATGGAAGGAAGGATCAAGGAGATATATGGTTGATGTGAAATGCTGCCTCAGTTGTGACCTTAACCCCAGAGATAGAGCCCCCCCTTTGGTGTATTTCAGAAGTTGATGAGTTCCCACTGCTTTCCTTCTAGTTTCTGGGGCTAGAATCACATAGCAACAACAAAGTGATCTCTTTTGTAGCTGGAAATTTCTGACAGAGAGGGCAATAGATTCTCCAGGGGTACTTGAACTTAGTGGGATGGAAGGAAAACGATTTTTAATTTTTGTTCTGCTGGTAGAAGGGAAGGCCAGAAGGGCATTTGCAAAAGCAAAACTAAGGAGTGTTCTGGGATTTGGATAAGTAAAGGCAGTGACAGAAAAGGTGATGAAGAAGTGATCCTTATAGTATGGGAGAGTAATAGAAGAAAAGACATAAGACCTATTGAATCTCTTCACATAAAACTTTCTTGTAAGGGGTGCCTTGGGCCCAATCAAGTGTGAGAACACAAAGAAGGAGACTAGGGCATCCATTTATTTTCTAGGAACATAGAGGCTGAGCTATTGGGATATATAGGAATATTAGGTAAGAGTCCAACAGTGGAAAGGAGACCCAGAATGCGATGCAGAGGGCTGGAGAGCTTGAGGAGATAGGCCTAGGAGAAACATTGTTCATATACTGTATTAGTTTGGTTTTCATCTAAAAAAAACACCTGAGAAAATCATATTTATTTTGGCTCTTGGTTTCAGAGCTTTCAGTCCATAGTTGGCTGGCTCCATAATTTCTGGGCCTCTGGTGAGGCAGTACATTATGGTGAAAGGAAATAATGGAACAAAGCTTCTAACCTCATAGTGGCCATGGGTGGGGGAGGGGCCAAGGAAAACATATCCTTCCAGGATATTCTCCCCAGTGACTTACAATTTCCAACTATGCCCTACCTTATAAAGTTTCCATCACCTCCTAACAATGCCATCACCTATGAACCCATCAAAGTTTTAATCCATTTCTGAGATCAGAGTTCTCATGGTCCAATCTCTTCCCAAGAGTCGATCCTCTGAATATTGCTGCATTGCAGACCAGGCCTATAACACATGAGCCTTTGGGGTACAATTGAGATCCAAAGTATAAGACACACTATAAAAACAATGAGTAGGTGGAGATATAAGGCTAGAATTCTAGTAATTAAATGTGCTATGTTTCCTAAAAACAAAGAATCCTTGCCTTCTCTGGGCCTAAAAGAAAACAAATAAGCCCCTGTAAGCCCTTCTTCCTTGGCCTCCAAGGAAGAAGTCATTCTTTCTATGACATATATTCCTGAAGAACAGCTAAAATTTACTGGAAGAATAGGTTTAAACCCTCAGGCCATCTGTCCCCATTGGTCACCTTGTCCCCAATGGTTACCCCAAGGTAAATATTCAACTGGGTCCCAACTACCCTCCACCCCATTTCTATGGGTTATTGCAAGAGTTAATAATACAAAGAGCCATCTAGGCTCTAGGTGGTTCTGTATTTGCTGAACCATTCATTGTGCTCTTGCCATTCATCTTTTTGGGACAAGCATGTTCTGCAAGGTTCTTGTCAGTCTCACATCACAGAGTAGTAAACTAGCAAGGTACCTACTATGTGATGTGAGACTGACAAGAGGGCATGAGGACACACACAGTGCAAACACAGCCTCAGGCTTCAGAACAGGGCCTTTCCCACTGTACCCATTCTTCCCCTACAGCCATGCCCATACTAAAATTGAGCTTTAGCCCCTTTCCCAAAGCCCCATTACTTCTGCACTTTTATTATTTTCTCTTCTCATTGCATCCTGGCCTTGTCCCCTGGTTCCTAGAAATCCCTCAGGCTTAACCAATATCCTGTGAGAAGGCCAGTGTTATCTGGAGAGTAGAATATAGACAACATCCTAAATTTACTGTGTGTCCTAAGTCTCTTTCCTCTCTGAATTGAAGTTCACTCCTTAGGGAATCTGAGGTAATAATCTCCATTGTGACCATTATATATGGGTAACGAGAGTTGAGTTCAAGATAGGAATCATGTATTAAGACATATGTATAGGACTGGCAATGTAGCTCAGTGGTATAGCCCTGGGTTCTATCCTCAACACACACACACACACACACACACACACACACACACGCACACACACACAAGGCCTATTTATGTGTCAGCTATCAGGGATGTAGAAATAAAACATTTCCCTGCCCTCAGGAAGCTCATAGTTGGAGGATTACTGAAAGAGAGTGACAAAGGCAGAACACCATCTGGGGACAGGGCCACATGCCTGTAATCCCAGTAGTTCGGGAGGCTGAGGCAGGAGAATCATGCGTTCAAAGCCAGCCTTAGCAAGTCAGTGAAGCCTTGTCTCAAAATAAAATATAAAAAATGGCTGGGGATATGGCTTAGTGTTTAAGCACCTAGTAGCAATAAAAAAAAAAAAAAAAAAAGACAGAACACCATGGAGATTGGGTGGGTGAGGCTTCTGAATGCTTCAGAAGTTTCTGGTAAGTGGCAAGAGACAGAGTAGAAGCTGCACTAGGAAGTTTTTTTTGTTGTTATTGTTGGTTCTCACTTTCTGCCTCCGGGGCAACTTTGAAAAGGTTACCTATGCCTTCTCATTGTGGGAAGATTAGGAGGTGAACAATCACACCCTGGTAGCATCTGAGATCCAGTATTTAGCTATCCAAGTTTGGTCTGTCCATTGGGGATCCGCAAAGTCAGATTGCCTATGGCCTTGGTCTCATTCTGGTGAGATATGCTCTATAGAGAAAAGCAGTGGGATGGAAGAGATAAACTACTGATCTGAGGAGATAGACACCTGAATACTAGTAGCTTGGTCCCTAGCATGGAATGACTATCTCTGGGATTTAGGTGTCTATCTAGTCTTATCATCAGGGAGGCCAGATTGAACTGGGGTTAATGCTCTTTAAACTGTGCTCTCAGAACCTTGGAGATATTCAGAGATACCTTAGGCAGAGTGAGGGATTGAAGGAGGTAAGCAGGTGGCTCCCTGAGTTAGGGTCTTCAATTTCAATAATCTGCTTTGAGTTGCTATAATAGGCATCCATGTATAATGTCAATGGAAAAAAAAATTCTGAAGCTGTACTGTACAAGTTGAAAATCACTGGACTGGGGTTGGGGATTAGCTCAGTGTCAGAGTACCTGCCTAGAATGCACAAGGGCCTGAGTTAAGTCCTTAGCCCTGGAGGGAAAAAAAAATCACTGGCTATGAATGACTTATGACAATGCTTGTTTGGGGCTTTACTGTGCCATGAGCCTAACTCTCTGGGTACACATAAGCACATTCCATAACCATTCCAGTCCTTGTTCGCTATCATTTTCTCCTTACAATGGGGAAGGTTTGGCTTACACATGTGGACCCCCAACCTCTCCACCAACCAGAACCCTATCATCATTTTTCCTCCACTGGGACTCATGTTTGGGAAGACTGTCTGCCAAACAGGCTGCATTTATTAATAATCCAATTTCCTACTTTTTCATTACTCAAAGACACATAACTGCCAGTCAGAGCCTCTGATCAGCATGAGATAACCTGTGCTACTGAGCCAAAAAAGAATCAATATTTGAGTGAAGTTTGCAGTGCAGCCTTATTGTGGGCAAATGTGCAATTTCCGCTTGTCCTATTGCAATATTGGAAATTGCTTCCCGCCCCCTGACTGATCTCTTAGAGGGTCTGGGGTTGGGATCCACCAAGGAGTATTTTTAAGATACTTTTCCAGCTTTGATATACCTTGGGGTGCTAAGTTAATAATGTCTGAAAGTCTAAGGGGAAGCATTTATTGCTGCCAGCATGAAGATAATAGTGGCAAAGATTATGGGGCTAAGGTGGGGTTTTCCTTCAGCTTGTTTGGTATGGAATGGCCAAGTCAATGTGGCTTCACTGTTCCTTCCCATCTGCTACTTGCTCCTTGCCACTAACTCCTCCTCTCTGAATTTCCATTTGCAGTGCTAAGGACCATCAAAGGATTTTATGAATTTCAGCTTCAAGAAGATGAAGACAAAGAAGCAGAGACTCAGAAGATCCAAAAGAAGGCTGAAATAGAGGCCTTACCCACCCAGGTAGAGACACAGGACAAGCCAGCTCAGGAGACAATCAAGACACAGGCCAAGCCAACAGAGGCACAGATTGAGCTTACCCAGGATAAGGCCAGTGCACAAACCCAGTCTTTGGAAGCACAGGTTGAACAAGTTGACGCAAAGGCCATGCTGGCCCAAGTTCAGGCAAAACTTGCCCAGTCAAAGACCCAGCCAGCCAAGGCAAAGGCCAAGGTAAAAGCCAAGATGGCCCTGGCACTAGCTGAACCAGTTGAAGTACAGGCCAAGTCACCTAAAGCAAAAGTCAGGCTGGCTGTGGCACTCCCTGAATTGCCTGAGGTACAGGCCAAATCACCCAAGGCAAAGGTCAAACTGGCCTTGGCACTGACAGAACCAGTTAAGATACAGGCACAGACACCCAAATCAAAGACCAAGAAAGCTCTGGCACTGACTGAACCAGCTGAGACACAAGCCAAGCCAGCCAGTGTGCAGGCTGAACCCACTAAGTTATGGTCCGAACCACTGAAGGTGCAAGCTGAGGCACAGGCTGTAGCAGCTGAGGAGCAGGCCAGAGTAGTTGAGAAGCAAACCCAGCTGGCTGAGGAACAGTCTGAGGCACAGGCCAAACCAGCTGAGGAGCAGGCCAAGGGGCAGGCTGAGACACAGGTAGAACCTACTGAGAAGCTAGTCGAACCTTCTGAGAAGCAAGCAGAACCTACAGGGGGGCAGGCTGAATCAGTTCAGGAACCAGCTAAGGAACAGGTCATGCTGCAGGCTGAACTAGCTGAGAAGCATGTTGAACCAGCTGAGGAGCATGCTGACCCAGGTGAGGAGCATGCTGAACCAGCCCAGGAGCAATCCGAAACTGCCAGCAATGAACAGGCAGAACCACAAGATGAGCCATCCGAAGTGCAAACGAAACTCACTGAGGTGCAGTCCCTACCATCTCAGGTGGAGGCTGAGGCACAGGCTGAAGCAGTGAATGAACAAACTGAAGAACAGACCAAACCAGCTAAAGGGCAGGATCAGTTAGCCAAGGAGCAGGCCAAGCCAGATGAAGAGCAGGCTGAGATACAGGTTGAACTACATGAGGAGCAGATTGAGCCACAGGAGGAACAGACCAACCCAGCAAAGGAGCAGACCCAACCAGGCAGAGAGGAAGCAGATGAGGAACAAGCCAAGGGAGAGCTGACTGATGACCAGGCAAAGGAGCAAGTGGAGCCATCCAATATTCAGGGTGAGCTAGATGAGGTACAGACCCTGCTGGGCCAGGCAGAAGCCAAGTTAGCTGAAGAGCAAGCTGGAGAGCATGCTGAGCTACATGCTGAAGTGGCTAAGGCACCAGCTGAGCTGATTGAGGCTCAGGCCAAGTCAGCTGAGGAGCAGGATGAGGAACAGTATGAACTGGGTGAGCAAACCAAGCCACAGTCCAAGCCAACTGAGGAGCAGCCTGAAGTGGCTGAGGTGCAGGCTGTGGTAGGCACCACTGTCCTCTCACCATCCATAACTATTGTTCGCCCCAAAGAATCAAGCCAGCCGGCACTAAAACGTAAACAGCTATATTGTTCTCACCCCTCAAGTCAGGCCGAGCATGTCCTTGGAGATGGGTCCAAGACACCAGGAAGTTCCACTTTCCAGGATGAGGTGGGAGATGGAACAGGCCAGGGAGACCCCTCAGGTGCCTGTTCGGTGAGCAGAGCAAGAGAGAACACAAATCGATGCCTGCAAGCAGGGTTTGCTCTGTTCCGCTCTGCTACCCGATGGTGGCCTTCTAAGCGATCCAAAGCCCCCACTGACCCGAAGAATCCTTAGAGGGATTCTTAAAATAAGTAGATTGGGGGTGAACTCCACCATACTCTGCTGACCACTGCCTAAATAACTCCCCATCATCCCACTTCAATCTTCTTAGACCCTCAGACTTTTCCTTCCAGACTGCTTCTGCCCAAATTTCCCCACCTACATCCTCTTTCACATTTTCCATTCACCTGCTCACTTACCCCTCACCTATTCAAGCCAGAAAAGTTGAGATTATGCTTCATGATCACCTGGAATGTGCTCTGGCCTTTTCTATGATCCTCTTCCCCAAGTGGTTGATCGCCTTCAATGTTTTGGCCAAACTAATGCAGGGAATGAGAATTGAAAAGAAACAAAAGCATCCCCTTTAGAGAGGACCCCTTCTCTAAAAACCCATCAGTCACCTCAATACCACTTTTAACTCAGAACACGCCTCCCTCCCATGTATGCACCCTGGACTTCATGTAATCTACTCTGATTTACATTCATTTGCATGACTTTTAGTTTCTATTCTTAAAAAAATCAACTCCTCCTAACCCCAAATCCAAGTACCCTTCCCTGTTAGTTAGCTCAGGTTCCAAGGTTAGCTCAGGAACCCTACAGGTGCACCTCTTCACAAATGGGACCTCATACTGCCCCCAAATGAGCCTGACTAGTGCTGTCAAGGGTTTTGTTATATTGGCACTCCTTTTGACAATTTTAACAGCAGGGGGTCCCACCAGTTGCCCTTATTAAACAAATGGTTGATGCTACCTCCAAAATAACTCATATTAATCCTTTCCTCCCTGACTTCATAGTCTTCTTTCTGGTCCTCATTATCTCTCCTCTAACTAATTGCCACAGCCTATTTGCTAGCTGACCAGACCTTTCTCTGTTATCATTGTCTCCATTGACACCAGACAATCTCTAAATCATCCTTAGACTTGTAATTGGCTGAAGCAAATTTCATACTCCTTTATAATTCCATTTTAAATTTAGCTCTACCTCATTTCAAATTTCTAAGATACCAGATCTAAGATCCATACACATCTCCACTTATCCGGTTCCTGACTACCACCCTTCCATTTCTCCTCTTGCAAAAAACAAACAAACAAACAAAAAACCCATAAATCTTCCCTTTGTCAGATGCTATCTCCACTATGAAACTTTTATCTACCCACTCAAATAGAGTTAACCACTACCACCCTAACTTTCCACTGTGTCCCATCCCCATAATAGATGTTGTTAATATGGTATCAAATGAGTTGTGTGTGTATTGCTCTATTGAACCTTATTTATTGTGACCACCTTGTGCATCTGTGAAATCCCAGTACGTGTTCCTGAGAATGTAGAATAATTCAATAAAGAATACAGAGAATGAAGGAGTCTTTGTCAATCTTTAAGACTAACAGAGGTGGACATAAGAGGGTTCCTTAGGAAATAGATTATCTGAGGAGTGGGGAAGATGTTTTATAGTACACTCTCTAGTGGATCCTGAGTATCATTTGTTATCTTTCTATATAGGTAAAAAAAATTGCTGCCTTTCCCCATGTACTCCAATTTCAGGCCCACCAGCCCACCTCTAACCAAAGAGAAGCCCTCCAAAATGGAATGTGAACAAGGATAGGATAAATTGTTTCTTTGCTACCAGTGCTGAAGGCCATAGCTAAGATACAGTTGTAACTACAGTGGGAGAATGGGGAATGGAAAAAAAAAACTTATCTTCATAGGATGATCCTAGGCCTTGAATAGACCTTCATCTCAGAAAGATTGATAACCCAGTCTCCTTCCCACTCCTGACCTCTGCTTTAACTCCTCAAACTCCTTCCAACTTTGCTGTCATTGGGGTACCCTACCAAGTCCTCCTTTGTGTGGAAAATTCTCACAGATTCAGAAAGAGATCTGATCAAAGAGCATCTTTAACATTTGCTAAACAACAACACAATTTAGCATTCTATAAATAGAACTTGTCTTAGAGTCAAGTTTCCAGGTCACTCGCTCACTTCCTGTAAAGCTGGAACAATTCTTTGGCCTTTAATGAGTCTCCCTTTCACCAGCTTTTAGACAGGGACAAAAAATTCCATGCCTCTTATATCATGTGACTACTACAATTAGCATTATATAACAGCCCCCACACTAAAAAGTTATATGGACCTGTCTACTAAGGTCTTCTAAAGTTTGACTGAGTCTAAGCATAAAGGTATTCTGCAACCTCCACAGACTCCACTCAATGTACTGAGATTCCTTCATCTAATATTAGAAGAGACTCCTAGCATTGCCCACACCCCAAGACCTGGGGCTCAACTACACAATGATCTTTGAGGCTTCATTAAGTGGTCATAGGAAGTATCCCATACACTCTGAATCCAGAGATTACTTCTGGTACTGCTGGATGCTGGCAAAGAGTCTCTCCAGTTGCACTTGGTTGGGAAGATGGGCCACACAGGGCCTCAAGGCTTCAGAATGGGCTAGAGTACCATAGAACATCATCCTGATAGAACTGGCTTGCCTATCTAGATTCTGCTTTCCTTTTATGACACAGGATGACTGTCTCCCTAGCAGATCTCTGCTTACTCTAGAGGGGTGATATTGTCCCATTTCATCCCTCTAGGGATTGAGACTAGAAGTATGCATGACTAGAGAGTGGAAGAGGGAAAGAACAAGGCTAAGATTAGAATAACTGTGCCAGGTCAAATGTTCCCCCATGAAGTCTGCAGACTACAACCATTTCCAGGATACTGTTCCCACAGATTTAAGAATGCTGCTTTGGTTTCAAGTGGAAATTAGCCATTATCCAATTCAGTCTGTCAGCAAGCTAGTTGCTGGAATTACCTTAGAATTCAGTTAATCCAAGATCTCCATTTCACAGAGGAAGGTGTCCCAGAGTGAAAAGGTAATTCTAGAGGTAATTGAACCTGGTCTGAAAACCAGATTTTTATTCCAGAACTTTTTCTTTAAGAAAAGAAGGTGGAACATAATCAATGCAACCCTGAGAGGTGGTATTGTGTAGTGGTTTAAGACAGTCTCCAGAGTAACCTTGCTTCTATTCGAATCTCAGTTCTTGTCATTTTGAAGCTGTGTAAGTTGGAGCAAGCTAACTTATTCTGAGCTTGTTTCCTTATCTTGTAAATGAGAATAATATTCCCATCTACCACCTGAGAACTGTTATAAGGATCAAATGAGTTACCTTTAAGCACTATTAAAAGAGCCTCTAAACCAGGTGTAGTTGTGCAGGCTTACAATCACAGCAACTTAGGATCTGAGGCAAGAGGATCACAAGTTTGAGGCCGGCCTCTGCAATTTAGCAAGACCTTGTTTCAAAATTTTTTTAAAAATGAAAAAGGATGGAGATATAGCTCAGTGGTAGAGTAACCCTGGGTTCAATCCCTAGTGCTAGGGGAGGGGAGAATTGAGAAGAACTGCTGACACAGAGTAGGCACTCAATGACTTATCAGCCAATATATTTTGACCAATATAATGATGTACATTTCGTTTCAATGGGTACATTCAGCTGGAAGGTAGCTGAAGATTCAACATAATCACAGATGTGCTGTAAGATCTTGGGTAAGCTACTTCATTTTTCTGTGCTTCCACTCCTTATCTGTAAAATGAGGATAATTACTGATAAGAAATAATAGTGAGGTGCTATGTGATGGATAGAACTCTGGAAAATAGAAAGAAGTGCACAAAGGTGAAGTGAGGATAACACTGTCATATATAATAGGGTTATTGATTGAAAGAGGGAAACTCATTTAGCTCAGAAAATAAGAAAAAAACAACATATTTTCCTTTTCCAAAGAGTGGGGAACTCTAAGATACAGAGAGTAAACTTAGGATTCCCAGCTCCCAATGATGTAACTAAGATGTAGATGACTCAAAACATTTCTATCCCCCTGGGCTAGACATAAATGTCTGTTCAAAGGCTTCATAGGGCCCCTTCTGTCCTTGTAATTGGCCCTTCTTTTAGGCTTCTGCTTTTTCAAACAGTCCTCTCAAACACTCAGTGGCCTTTATAAAGCCAAACCCTCTCCTTTCCTCTATAACCCCCTACTCCACTGTCAACTCTATGCATTCTTAACCTTCCCTAACACTACCCACTGGCAGACGCTCATCATCTTTTATCTAGACCTAGTATACCAGCATCCTACACTCCTATCCTCCCTATTGCCTCAGAAAGATCTTCCCAGATAATGGGAGTCTTAAAATAAGAGGTGAAAAAAAGAGGAAATTTTTTAATATATAACAAGGAAAAAATTCCCAGAATTAAGAAGAGACCTCAGATGAGTAGGGGTCAGAGGACTGAAAAGAGGAAAAAAGGGAAACACATATAAACATGTTAGAGTAAAATTTGAGTACAATTATCAAAGAGAAAATCTAAAAGCTATCTGAGGAAAGGGAAACTGTCTCTAAAGGAAAAATAATAAATCAAACTCAAATTTCTGAACAGTAATACTGGATGCAAGAATCAAACTTATGTGGCCCTTTTCTAAGTACTTTATACATTAACTCAATCTACCAGCAAGTCTATGAAGTAGATTTTAGCATTATTCCTTTTATAAATGGGAAAACAAAGAAAGAGAGAGGTCAAATAACTTACCAAAGATTACACATCTAGCAAGTGACAGAACCAGGATTTAAATTAATACATTCCAGCTCTAGAATCCATGTTCTTAATCACTATACTACATCGTCTAATATTGAAGTAACATTTGGGGATTTTTTTAAAATATAAATTTGAGCTTTTGGCTTTGATCAAAATAACAAGAGGCTCACATTTCTGATCCTCCTTGCAAGTAGACCTAAAAATTCTGGAAGTAAGTCAACAAACATTCATATAAGAAGTCTCAAAGTTGTAAAGAGGAAAGCAAACTGACTAAAGGATTCAGGTCTTGATGAATGACAATGCAGTGTATTTCCTAGAGTTAAAACACCTCCTAATATAATATAAACAGGGCACTGTAACCAATAATTGCCAACAGGAATGGACAATTTTAAAAAAATGACTGAAAAAAATACAGTTCTCTCTGGCCAAAGGAAAGGGAAAAGGGCAGTTAGTGTGACACTTTGTTTATTTGTCTTGCCATATTAGGCTTCCAACAGCCTAACACATTGGACAAGCCCTTTCCTGGCAGCGTCAGCAGCTACCTAGTAGAAAGTCCCATTTCCCACTCTCTATCCATTGTCAGATGGCAAGCCAGGGTAAGATCTTTCTACTCCCACCTGTGGTGCCAGTAGACACAAAGCAGAGAGTCCTAGCTCCTGTTCCCTACACGGTGACAGTAAGTACTTTTAAGTAAGTGCTTTCCTCCAATGCAAGCAGTGCTAATAGACAAGGAGCTGAGGCAAAAGGATCACAAGTTTGAGGCCAGCCTCTGCAACTTAGCAAGACCACATCCTGCCCCTCCACTCAGCAGCTGTAGAGACTTAGGATTATGCTTGCCATTTTTACTGAGTCCTAGAGGAGACATAGTGGTGAATTTGGACTCTCACTCCTCCTCAGTAGTAACAGAGCAGTGGCCTTCACTCTTATAATTACAGAGTAAAATGAAATGTAGGACTCTAGGAAAAGAGCAAGATGGAGAAGGGGATTCTTTAAACCTGCATAGGAAGTACTGGGCAGACACATGACAGGTCCCAACATGAAACTGACCAGAAGAAACATCCAAAAGTTTGAGAATTTAAAGTATAGGAATTTGCCCATACTTTCTAAGGGTCCTCTGTGTGGCATATAAACTAAGCAGACCCAAATAGAACTACAAAGGCTCTGAAATCAAAATTATCATTGAAACCACAGCTTGGAAAAATATGCCTGAGCCTATGTTCTATAAATCTAAGCAAATTAACTGCCTAGTTAGTAGAAAATTTAAATAAAACTGAGTCTTTTGACATAGCATCCAAAATGTCAAAGATATGGTAGAAAATCCTTAATGATACCAAGAGCCAGAGAAACTACTTGTGGAATGAGAAAAGAAAATCAACAGATGTCAATACCATGATGTTGGAATGATTTAATAAGGATTTTAAAGAAGCCATCATTAAAATACTTTAACAAATAATTATGAATTATCTTGAAATAAATTAAAACAATAAACCTCAGAAAAGAAACTAATATCAAGTAAGTAGACTGAATAAGTAATAAAGCCTTTCCATCAAAGAAAATCTCAGAACCTGCTGGTTTCACTGCTGAATTTTACCAAACACTTAAAGAACTAATACCAATGCTTCTCAATCTCTTCCAAAACACTGAAGAGAAAGGAATTTGTCTGAAGTATTTTTCACAAGGACAGCATTATTACCCTGACACTAAAAACAGACAAGGACACTGCAAGAAAAGTACAGGCCAATATCCATGGTGAGAATACTTTCAAAAATCCTCAACAAA